ATTCTATGAACGAGTGCAATATGGTATCCTTCGGTTCTTATGTTTTTAAATGAAGCGTGCTAGGCTTGTGCTCCTTTTTATTTTAAGTGTGGGTGATGTGTTTCCTGTTCCGGTGGGAGGAGCCTATCTCTCTAATGCTGTCCTTGAAGGTTCCTAGAAACAGAGTTACCAGGTACGTAACTCCAATTTTTCTAGATGTATTCATTGTCGTTTTAATTTAGCTCCAGCATAAATCAGTACATACAAAATTGTGTGCATATATGTAGAGAAATTATATTGATTTACATGAAATGATAGGTTTTATTCTGAACATGCACTGGAAACATGATAGCCACAAAGGGTCTTTTATTGTGCCAAGTGTTTTATTGACTAAATTATTCATCATTGCTAATCAAATACACTGGCATGGACAGGTCTTTAGCTTTCTTTTAAATGTGCGTCAGTTTGCATGCCATGTCCAGTTTGCATGCCATGTCCGTCACCGGGGGCAGCGGAAATTAACGATTAATTTCTCGATTTAATCTTTAAACTTTTTGATTTTAAAATTATTTAGATCAAAAATTAAAACACCTCCGCCGGCTTCCGGGAGTCCCGTCGGAGATCCGGTGACGTCACCGGACTCCTCCTTTCCCCAAATGGCTCAGTTGGCTAACGAAGGGAAGGGGGGGGAGTCCTTCCCTTCATTAGCCGACTGAGCCACTTGGGCCGGTGAGTTTGCCCAAGAAACGTGTTCTGCACGAATGCCAACCAAGGCATTGGCCTATAGACATACCGCACAGCAATTAAGTAATAAAATGAACTAGGATCACACTAATCCAGCACTTTATTATTCTGAGTTTCCCCACTCAAGCGGCGGTGAGATTAATAATGTGCTGGATTAGTGTGATCCTAGTTCATTTTATTACTTCATTGCTGCGCTGTATGTGTATAGGCCAATGTAGTTGGATCTGTATGTGTGTTAAAATTGAAATCGATGAGAAAAAAAAATCACAGGTGATGGGTGTTTTCTACTGCTCCCAGTTTCTGAATGAAGAGGTGTGGGATCAAGGTCTTTATGGCCAAAGCCTGTGTTGCTTGAGGACAGGAAGGAGCTTACTAAAATGGGGGGGGGGATTGACTTTCCAAAAGTCAGATTTTGCACAGAACACTTTAGGGAGTTCTAGCAGCAGATGGTGTGATGAATACTGGGAGTAAAGTTCAGGCACCTTGTTGTTCCTCTTGCATTGCAAACCTTATACTTTTTCTAGTGTGAAAGCTGCCATTCCTACTCGGGTGCGGAATTACTATCACCAGACGCTCTGAACATGCAGTTCCGGCCGTTGGGCAGGGTTTTGACAAGCAGCAGGGCTAAATGTAGAGCAGTTTTATTCAAGTGATCTAGCTGGCTGTACAGCCAACCAGATAACTTGTAAGTTGGCTGCTTTTTACTACCTCCCCCTCCTCCTTTTCATGGTACGTGCGCCCCAACCGCCATGGCATATTACTTCAGGATTGGGAGCAGACCTGAGAAAGTCCATTCTCTGATTTGGTTCTGAGCAGTGACACAGGAACGCTGTACTCGCGCCTTCCTGTCCCAGTAGATTGAGCACTATGCTGTGCTCCAACTCCTGTCGTGTAGGGCAGGTTCCATAAAGAAAACCCTAATAGGTTGGACTTGATGGACTAATGTCTTCAACCTCAAATACTATGTAACTATGTAACCTGTCGCCTCCGAATGTGACCATATATGGGCTTGTTAGTCCCTGTGTGATGGGAATAAAGTTGTTACAAAAAAAAGGTAAATAAAAAGTATACAAAATAAAAACTATAGTGAAAAAATGTTTTTAAAACAAACACGTGTGTGTGTGTGTGTGTGTGTGTGTGTGTGCGCGCGCGCACGCGCTCTCCCCCTCCCTCTCTTAATGTGCATTAAAGGAATTTGCCCTCTCTCTCCTGCTATACTTAACTATCTACGAACAGTCCTTCTCCTCCTCCGGTACAGGTGTACCATCTGTACCCCATGCTGCCATCTAGCGCTGAGCTTTAGTCCTTGGACAAGTTGGTTGTGTTTGCTTTTTTTGTTTTTTATTTCCACACCCCTTCTAAACTAGATTCCTAGTAGTCATGCCTCTTTTAATAGTTTGTATTCATTGTCTGATTTAGGCATGCAATGGAATCCCAATTCCAGACTCCATAAGCCTATGGGGGTTAAATTTGTTGAACGCAATCTGCCATATATTATGCTTGTTTCTGATCTTGTTTGCATGTCAAGGGTGGTACAGCTCCCATAGACCACATAGCTTAGGTTGATTTCTCCTCTGTGCCATTCATTCTCGGACAGTCTCGGACTTTGTTTTGTGAATGGCCAGGGGGAGTGGGAGGCAGAGGCACAACCCCAACACCTGGGATCTGAGACATGCAGTGCTTACAACAGAATGGCCCCAGAAGTACAGCAGAAGCTGTAGTATTATATAGCAAGTTGGGCAATCTACTATCTGGACAACTAGCATCTTCTAAATGGTACTGGCATTGGAATCTGGGGGAGATGCATATGACAGACTGGCCATTGGGCTGGTTTGTCACAGTTTCTCCTCTAGGCTAACAAGCTCCCCATCTTGGTGAGATACACTCCTGTGATCCCTATGATGCTTGTAGCATTACAAGTCTACCTTTTGGAAAATATATCCTTGACCCTGGAAAGCCTGCATCTCTTGGTGTGAGGGGCTTTGTATTTCTCCCTGTGCCTTTTTGGTTGCTTAGATTTTGAGGTTTTATTAAAAACATATACCCCTATAGAGTTTTTATAACTATGTTGTTGCATCTGTGGATGCTTCCTTTGGTCGCCAAGTTTTACAGGCGGCTTGTAAAGCTATGAGGTGAGTGAAAATCACTCATCCGCATAGTTCGTGCCGCCGTGTGACAAAACTGTCACACGCCTGTTCAATAGATCGGGAAGTGAGTGAACACATATTGTTGCTCGCTCAATTCTCGATCATCTCCTTGCAGTGAGCGGTGACTCAGTCATGGCTCCCAGCAGGGATATCCCCCGCTCCGATCCTCCAGCACTGACTTGATGAACCAACGGGAGGGGGTGGGTACAGCTGGCTCTGCCTCTAGATAGGCAGAGCCTGCTGTCATTCATGCAGCTGGGTGGATCTTGACAGCATTGTCGGGATCTGTTCCAGCTGCGGCAGTCTCAGTATACTGCGAGCTGTAGCTTGCGATTATACTGAGTTTTGGAGAAAAATAGACACCGGCACTCCAATAGTAAATCAATTACGTCTATTTATTTATTGACATACATCAAAAGCAAAATAACACACATTACTATGTGTACTAAGTGTGTTATTTTGCTTTTGATGTATGTCGATAAATAGACGTAATCAATTTACTATTGGAGTGCCGGTGTCTATTTCTTTTCTGCATTACTTTGACGGTGGCCATCCGTCGACTGAGCACCCAGGATACTTTGTTGGAGTGCAATGGGTACATGGACTGTATACTGAGTTTTGGGTCACGGGAGGATGCTAGTATATGTCCTCCCGTGACCCTTAAGAGAACTATGGGGAAAACACTTACCCCATAGTTGTCCTTTTAAGTTTGTGTGAGCCAGAGTTTTTTATGCAGTTTGTTCTCGCCGCTTGGACACTTTTTTGAGACATCCCATCAGTACAGAGATCCCTGCTGTGTCCTTCAATGAATAAGAGAAAATAGGATTTGTTTTGCTTGTTCATTGAAGGACACACACCCTCCCTTTGGGTATTGTGCCTTAGTGCTACTGCTTTTTGACTAAGGCCTGGTTCACACCTGGGCGCTTTGTAGCGCGTTCGAACGCTCTGCAAAACGCTCAAACACCGAAATCACATGATTTCCTATGGGTATGGTTCACACCTGGGCGTATCACAGGCCGTATGAACGCTACAAAACGCCCAAAGAAGTACAGGAGCTTCTTTGGGGCGTTTTTGTCACGCGTTTCCATTGGGATACAGCCAAGTAGCCCTCGGAAACGCGCGTTTTTTTGATTGCGGTAAAACCGCGCAACAAAAGCGCATATTCGATACGCCTAGATGTGAACCCAGCCTAACTGAGCTGCCTTGGATGGGTGTGTGGCCACCAGCAGGAGCCACTCCTAGAACAGAGCTTTTTTTGCCTAGCGTCCTACTCCTGCAACTGGCGGCATAATCCATCAATCAGTACAGAGATCAAGATCTCCCTTCACTGGACGCAGAGAAAATTATTTTATGGGGAGTATTGGAAATTCCCAGTCTTTCTAGTACATGTGCCTGCATCCCTCTTTAGAAGTGGGGAGATTATTGCAGTTTATACACTGAGTTGTCGGGGTACAGGGTTTTTGAGATTTTACAGTGTTGTGACATCCATACTTCCAGATTTCCTAGTTGTGCATCCTCTCCTAGTAAAACCATATGTTAGCGTTTTAATTGCACGTTTGTTTGGGGGGGGGGGTCTTAATTTCTGGAGTTGGGCTTTATTATCTGTATGGAAAGTATTTCACTTCATAGAAAAATTGACTTAAGTGATTTGAGTTGTGGTTCTGCATGAATGAACAATTTAATATTAACGGTGGCCATCTGTTTTAGTGACACAGTAATCGCACGCGCACTAACGCGCGCGCCCGCACTAACGCGCGCGCCCGCTAAAAAGTTCACTCTATAGCAGACTCTTCTTGCAGTGATGGTGAACTCTAACTGTGCAGCCATGTTAAATGGGCATAAGCTATTCTACTGCTGTCCATGCATGCTAATGCTGTCCATGCTAAAACTGCAAACTTGCATCATTTTCCTAGGTTCTTTCTCCTAAATGGACAGTGGCTATTGGATAAGGGTTTTTTAGGGGCTTGTTCTATGGAAGCATTGGGAGCATTATACACCTCTGTACATACAGTATGTGTTCTTCACCTATGATGTCTACTCAGATTTAATTTGGCTGTAGCAATCTTGACACTTATTAAATTATTTTGTCTGAAGGAGTTTTATGAATTTATGCTTTCGTCTTTTTTTTAGGTTCAGCTATAACAGGTCCTGTGGCAAAGGAATGTGCAGACCTGTGGCCCAGGATCGCCTCCAATGCTGGAAGCATTGCCTAAACATGCCATCTGTTTATCAAATAAAAATACTTGTAACAAAGTTTTTGGTTTTTGTTTTATTTTTGTTCTTAATTTATTGGGAAGAAAGTGGATACATAAAGAAAGGAAAGAGCTAGTAAAAGTAGCTCAAGTGAGGTCTTTAACTGCATTTTATTTTGGGTTTGTTTCTGTGTTTTAAGTGACCAGTAAATGTACCTTATTTAGAACAGGCAGGCTTAACGGATATTGCAACCAGTGCTAAAGAAGTGTCAGGTGTGGAATTCCTATCAGCCAACGCCTTGGACATGCAGTTCTGGGCGCCGGGAAGGTATTTTGTTTTTTTCTTTTAGCCCTGCTTCGGGCAAGCAGAACTAAATGTACAGCGAGGAAGCGCCTTTGTACAAGTCATCTTGTAAGCAGCCCGCTTGTCACTCCACCCCGACGCCCCTCCCCTCCATTGTCCTCTCTTGCTGCCTCTCTCTCCGACGTGGCGAATTAGTTCAGGAGATCGTGCTGGAACTCCTGTATTGGAGGTGACAGGTTCAATAAAGAGAACCTGTCACCTCTGAATGCTATTGCGCAGGGGCTTGTTAACCCCTGTGTGATAGCAAAAAAGTTAAGTAAAACATTTATAGAAAAAGTAAACAAATAATGAAATTAAAATTTTACAAATGAAACCAACCATATCGCCCCCATCATCTGCATGCAAATAAACGGAATTCCACACCCTTGAGTTTCTTGGTGGGCATTTTGTGTGCTGCCCCCATTCCACTGTGCCACATTGTGGTAGCTGCACTCTTAACATGCCCAATGTGCATTAAAGGTTGAGTTAAATTTACCAAATAATTTGGGGAAAATGGAATTACCCACTCAAATTTGGCCCCCTTCCCCACCCTCCCTGCTCTGCTATACTTGCCTTTCGGCGAACGGTCCTTCCCCTCTGCTGGTGCAGGTGTATTATCTGTACTCCGTACTGCTGTCCAGTGCAGCCCTGTGCCATGTATTCTGAATTACGCTCGAAAATTGCGAGCACTCGGTCAGCAGTCACCTGACAGCACTGACAAGTGAGGAGCTTTTTCTTAACCGTCTAATATGGTTTTGGTTAAGATTATTTTTTGTATCACAAGTAAATGGTCATGAGGGGCAAGTAGATTGGGCCCCCACTTCTTGGATGAGGTTTTTTTTTTT